GCATCTCTTCCCTCTGCCAGACACATTTCTGCCCTCCCAGGGCTGCTCTGCCTGAAGGGAACAGGCACCCTGGGAAGGACAGACCACCACAGGTGGGGTCCAGAGGTGTCAGAAATTCTAGTAGCTGCCTGCCCACCACACAAAGTGGCCGGGAGCTTCATGGGCCATCACTCACTAAGTGCCCCCAGCATCCCTGCACCAGGAACTTTACAGATGAGGTCTCACGAGCTGTTTCACAGAGCAGGGTTCAGGCCATTGGCCCAAGGTCCCACTGGAGGTCAGACAGAGCCCAAATGTGAGCTTACTTTGGACCTACCAATCACTTCTCTGAGCTTTTTCATCACCAACAGTAAAAACGCCCCCACCTCCCTGTGTTTCTGACCCCTCACAGTGCCCCCGAGGCTTCCTCATCCTCCTGCCCCCACCCCAAGAGTCCTGCAACTCACAAGGTCTAGCTGCTCCAATAAACCACACTTGCGGAAATACCACTGCCATCCACCTTGGCTATTGTCAGACTTTTTCAGGGTGGCGCTATAGCCATCCCTTGCTAAGTGCCAAGCCCTGGGAAGACAGGGATGGAGAGGACCTGCCCATTGTCCCAGGGAGTGCCTGGGCTGGTTGGGGAACACAGGCGGGCACCCAGGCCTGGCTGGCTGAGATTGGGGCTGGGGTTGGAGCTCATAGAGGCACCCAGCTGCCAGCCAAGGCCACACCCAGCTGGACCCCCTACCGCACCCATGCCAGGACACTGCCACCCCAGACCAAAGCTGCAGAACAGGCTTTGTGTGCCCAGGGTTAGTGCTGTCCTTCTCCTGATCAGCACAAAGGAGAGGATGGCGATTTCCAGGGCCCTGACCCACATGAACGAAACACAGCATTTATTTCCACAAGAGGGAAAGAGTGGTCTCCCCAGAAGCCCAAAAGGTTGCCCTGAGAGCCAGGGGTCCTGCCTTCCATGGCCTAGGACTCCCCTGGGCCTGGGGCCTCAATGATGCCATCTGCCTTGGAGCAGGACCTGGTACTGGCACCCACAGGAAGAGGGCAGGGTCCCTTTAAGCCCAGTCTCACTACCTCAGCCTGTTGCTATGTACGGGACTGGCTTCCTTAGCAACCACCTGGCCGCTTCCTGGGGCCTGGAACCCTGGCTGCCATCAGCCATGGCTCCCAAAAAGAGTGTGAGTAAGGCAGGCAAGGAACTTGAGGTCAAGAAGAAGAAAGTGGGCAAGAAGGAGCCCGTGGTGGTTGTGGAGGCACCTCTGGCCACGGAGGTGAAGGAGTTCTACCACATCCAGATCCGAGACCTGGAGGACCGGCTGGCCCGGTGCGTGGGCTGGTGGCCAAGAGTCTGGTGCCCTGGGGCAGAAGCCCATGCCCAGGGCAGGTTTGGCCAAGGGGCCCTAGGCCTGTGTTCTGGTCTCCCATGGGATGTCCAGACCCCACCCGACCCCAGCCTCATTTCCTCATATGTACCTTTGGGAGGTCTCAAGAGTTTGAGGGTAAATGGATTTCCCCACCTTCCCAGCTCCGAGAACCCTGGGCCCATGATGCTAACTCGTGGCCCCGCTCCAGGCAATCCCTCCTTTCCCCTGCCTCACTCCTGCCCCGTGGGACCACAAGCTTCATGAAAGGGTGGAAACAGCCCTCCAGCAGGCGGGGGAACCCCTGGCCCCACTTCCGCTTCCTGGCAGTGGCACCTGTGCTCCACTGACCCACTCAGCACATGAGCCCAATTGTTTCTCCACGCTGGGCCTCAGTTTACCCAGATGTAAGTGGGAAAGGTTTATTCCTCCTCCATGGCTGTGACATTCTGCTGTAGAACATTTTGTGTGTGACATGGTGGGGGTGGGGACAGCCTCGAACTCTTCACTTAGAGCCATGTTCATTTGCCCATCATTTTCTCACGTTTCCTCCCAGTTATAAGGCACCAGCCCGTCTCAGGGTGACCTTAAAAGACAAGCAGGGGGCAGCTCTTCCCCAGGTGACTGATGCTGTGGGTAACCATAGCTAATGCTGAGTCCCTGGTGGTGCCAGGTGGGCCATGTGCTGGTACAGAGTCCTCACAAAAGTCTTAATAAAGAGGTCCCAATGTCATCCGCATTGCACAGATGGGGGAGACTGAGGCTTAGAGAAGGAAAGTCACTTCTGGGAATAGGAGGCAACAGGATGGGAGCCCTGGCCTCCTGACTCCCCTGTGCAAGGCTGCTTTCTCAGGCCACAGCCCTGAAGTGCTCTGTGTGCAGTCACCACTTGAAAGATGCTGGTCAACTAAATTACGATGGAAAACAACTTTCCAAGTATCTTCAGTTATTTCATTGGAAACCAGTAAATTCGTTATGTGATGCTGATTAAAATTAACAAACTTCCCTTGAGCTGAGACATCAGGTAGAATGTATTCAAGGAAAATGTATTTAGCAGAGTTATTGGGTGCTTACTATTTGCCAAGCGGTCTGTCAGGCTCTGAGAATACAGAGGTGAAGGAGAGGGGCATGTTATTAGATTTCAACCACCCAGTGGGACAAGGGCCAACTTACAGGAGAGCACCAAGACAGGGCTACAAATGTGGCTCAGGGCCAAGAAGGGCCCACCAGAGTTACTGGATGGAAAAAGATAAGGGAGACGGCAGGTACAAAGACTTGGGATTTGAAAGCGTGGGAGAGTTATCAGGCATGCAGAGCTGGCCGACCGCAGCAGGCGGCATTGTGGCTAAAAGCTTTGATTCTGGGGGTCAAACTGACTCATGTTCAAATCCTGGCTTTGCCACTTACAAACTTAGAGTTCCTTTATCCTTCTGAGCCTCAGTTTTCTCATCTGTCAAATAGTTATAATCATCATAGTACCTACATTTTTTTTTTTTTTTGAGACAGTCTTGCTTTGTCACCCAGGCTGGAGTACAGTGGCACAATCTCAGCTCACTGCAACCTCCACCTCCCGGGTTCAAGCGATTCTCCTGCCTCGGCCTACTGAGTAACTGGAATTACAGGCACGCACCACCATGCCCAGCTAATTTTTGTAGTTTCAGTACAGAAAGGGTTTCACAATTTTGGTCAGGCTAGCATTGAACTCCTGATCTCATGAGCCGCCCGCCTTGGCCTCCTAAGGTACTGTGATTATAGGTGTGAGCCACTGCAGCTGGCCAGTACCTACATTCTTATAAGTTGTTGTAACAATTTAACAAACATTGCACACCTGGTTATGTACCAGGCACAGGTGCTGGGGACATACTTGAACATAACAAGGCCCTGCCCTCATGGAGTTTACATTCTAGTGGTGTAATAAAAATAACATGCTAAGCACAGGCATTGGCTTTGGTCATAAGTGCCAGATCAGGGGAAATAGTGGGAGATTAGGCTGGATTCTCATCACAAGGAATCTCAAGTGCCGCTTTACGGGACGGGGTCCAGGAGTGGGCCCAGCTACACTGCAGGCCTGGCTTGCCCAGCCTGACCCCTGGACCACTGCCCTGCCCCTGCCCCAGGTACCAGCGGAAGTGGGATGAGCTGGCTGTGCAGGAGAAGCTGTTCCGCCAAGAGTTCGAGCAGCTGGCCAACAACAAGAAGGAGATTGTGGCCTTCCTCAAGCGCACACTCAACCAGCAGGTGGATGAGATCACGGACCTCAACGAGCAGCTCCAGAACCTGCAGCTGGCCAAGGAGATGGAGAAGGATGCCTTCGAGGCGCAGCTAGCCCAGGTGCGCCACGAGTTCCAGGAGACCAAGGACCAGCTCACCACAGAGAATATCGCCCTTGGTGAGGAGGGGACTGGCTGGTGAGCCTGCAGGCACCCATGACGGGGACAGAATACAGGGCTCACATCCCAGCTCTATCGCTGACCCTGTTTCTCACCTGAGAAACAGGGAGAATAGCCACGTGCTGCTTGGCACACACTGTCTTCCTTAACTGTCCCAGCAATCCTACGAAGCTGGAAACATCCCCCAACCAGTTTGTAGATGAGGAAGCACCTCAAAAGGTGAAGTGTTGTGACCAAGGTCCCCCAGTTGGCAAGGGTTGTGAGGCTCAAATGTCAGATGGCATTAGAACCTGGCCCAGAGAATATATACAGTCCAGCTGCTGGCCAGGTGTGGCGGCCCATGCCTGTAAACCCTGTGCTTTAGGAGGCTAAGGCGGGAGGATTGTTTGAGCCCAGGAACTCGGGACCAGCCTGGGTAACATAGTGAGACTCCATCTCTACCAAAAAAATAGAAAAATTAGCCAGGTGTGGTGGTGCCTGTATGTAGTCCCAGCTACTTGGGAGGCTGAGGTGGGAGGGTCTCTTGAGCCTGGGAGGTTGAGTGAGCTGTGATTGTGCCACTGCACTCCAGCCTGAGTGACAGAGCAAGATCCCGTCTCAAAAAAAAAAAAAAAAAAATGCAGTTGCTGTTGTCACTGTTATTTTCATGAGAGTATCAAGGGAGGCTTCTTGAAGGAGGCAGAACCTGAACAAAGCTTCATAACATTCATGGAGGGGAAGAGGGAGGGAGCCCGGATGAAGGCAGTAAAGGTGGCAGGGCCAGGCAGGGCAGGTAAGGGATGGTAGACCTGTCCCACTGAGTCAGACGGCACCGGGCACACAGGAAGGGACAGGGGCCTAAGGGGCATCTTTAAGGCCCTCGCCAGGCCTTGTCCTCTGAGGCAACCCCTCATGGGGCCTTGTGCCCTGTGGTGGCCAGGAGGGAAGCTGGTAGCCCTGGAGGAGTTCCGGCTGCAGAAAGACGATATCATGGACAAGTTCACATTGCTGGAGGACCAGGTGCAGAAGCAGGAGAATGAATTCAGGGACTATGCGTACGACCTGGAGAAGAAGTCGGTGCTGGACAAGGACAGGTGGGCAAGCGGAGCCTCTGGAGCCTTCACCCCTGGGGCCATGAACATCCTAGTCTTCAGGCCTCAGCTTCTAACTGGGAGGTTAGATGGGTAACTGACCCCCCCTCCCCAACCTGCTACTCCTCGGAATCCCAGCTGGTGATTATGGAGAGGTGTGTGAAAAGGAATCAGCTCCCAGATGCAGTCCTCTTGTTGGCACTGGAGACTCCCAGGGCTTCCATTTGCCACTTATTGGGATTAAATAATTTTTATTTAATAGTTGAGAGTACACTGAAATGGTACCAGTTCCAAAGGTCCAAGGCATGCAGGTGTTTCACACCCCTAGGGGCTCTGGAAACCTCACAAAGGAAAGGGGTGTGCCCAGGGCTTGTGCCCGCTCTTTCCTCAGTCCGGCCCCCCTCCCCTCCTGTCTTTCTGGCCAGACTGAGGAAAGAAATCATCCAACGCGTGAACGTCGTGGCCAATGAGTTCCGCAAGGTGACCACAAACCGGATGTGGGAGACAACCAAACGGGCCATCACGGAGAACAACAGCATTACCCTACAGATCGCCAGGATCTCCCGGCAAGGCGCGCAGCTGCTGCAGGAGAATGAGCAGCTCAAGCGAAGTCAGGACTATCTGTGCAAACAGGTGGAGCTGCTGGAGAACACGGAGAAGGTCATGGCCAGGCACAAAATTGGCTGCCAGAAGGTGTGCCTGCAGGCCTCAGCACAGGGCGTTTGCATGCGAGGCAGGAGGCGACCCCAGGGGCCTTGCAGGGGTGGAGTCGAGTCAGGAGAGAGGGAGGCAGTGGACAGAGGACTTGGGCCTCCAGTGGGGGCTGAAGGGCAGTGGGCCTAACTCCGGATTTATTTACTCAAAGCCCCTGTAACTTATATAAGCAGAGCACAGCCCTGGAATGCTTGGGGCTCTGTCCAGCGGCAGCACTGGCCGCTCTGCACAGCGGGGCCAATGAGGCCTGGCTGTGTCTGGAGCTGGGGACAGGGCTGGCTGAGGGCATGGCCACCTGCCCGCACCCACAGGTCATCCTTATGCTGACCAAGAAGTGCCAGGAGCAGCAGCAGGGCACCAAGGAGGCCAAGGAGCTGCGCCTCCTGCTGAGCCAGTTGGAGCAGACAGTCTTGCAGCTGCAGGTGGACAACCAGGCACTGACGTGCGTATAGCCTGAGGAGGGGCAGGTGGCAGGGGGCGGGTGCAGGCTGGGGCCAAGCTCCAGCCCAGCTCTTTCTGACCCCACGACCTGGGCCAGTGACTTTCTCTCTCTAGAGGAAACTGCTAGACCGGCTGAGGCTTGGGGCTGGCTAGGGGTCCCTGTGGGCTTGGAGAGAAATGGGAGGGCCCCTGGCCCCAGGTGGCACCAGTCCTGGGGAAGGGGGAACGCTGTTGACTCATTGGGGCCCAGGAGCCAGAGAGACCAGCTGAGTCTGCAGCTGGAGCAGCAGCAGGTGGACTTGCGGAGGCTAGCGCAGGAACTGGCTGATGAGCAGAAGGTTCGGGCCAGCCTGGAGGCGGCCCTGGCCCAGGCCACCTCCTTCCTACAGAGCATTCTGCAGGTGAGCAGAAGGAAGGGAGGGAGGGTGTCAGGGGAAGGGGAGTGAGCCCAAGACAGAAGCTGCTTGCAGAGAACGGACTGCCTCAGGGTCAGAGGCCCCTCTTCCCTGAGAGCCTCCCAGAAAGTCTGTCCTTTGCTGATTCTGGCCTTTTCTGAGGAGGTGGATTCCTTCTCTGAGGCTCTGAAAGGTCTCAGGACTCAGTCTTCCTGAATGGAGAATGGGTATTCCACCACATTCAGGGAACACTTCGTGGAAACGGGCACTGAAGTTGGAATTTCTTGGAGGAGTATGGGTACTGGGGCCACTGTGGGCCTGCTGCCACCCCACCCTCACCCACAGATGCGCCCTGATGAACAGGACAGCGAATTAGACGTGACGTTCCAGCCGTGGCACAAGGAGATGCTGCAGCAACTGCTGGTCATGCTCGGCTCCACTGTGGTCCTGAGATCCCAGAAGGCTATGTGTCCCCACCAGGAGTCACAGTCCCATGGTCCACCCAAGGAGAGGTGAGCCTTCAAGCCCATGCTCAGCTCACTCTGGGACAAAACCCAGGCTCGCCGAAGTCTCTGTGACCCTCAGCCCCTTCCCCACAGCCAGCCCAGCATCCAGCTGCCCAGGACTGGGTCTCTGCTGCCGAAGCTCTCTCACATCACACCCTACCGGCCGGGGGATCTAGGCCTGGTACCTCGCCAGGCCCGCATCCCACCCAGCCCCCAGGACCTCAGACTGCTGTCATATATCACCCGTGTGGGGACCTTCCGGGCACACAGCAGCCACGAGGTGAGGGTGCTAGGGGCCCCAGGGACAGCAAGGTGGCAGCAAGTCCTGGGTACAAACGAAGGATCTGCCAGGCCACAGCTGTGTGGCCCTGGGGATGTAACCAGACCTCTCTGAGCCTTCCCATCTGTAAAATGGGCTGAAGAAAGGAGTGTCTGGGTCTCAGTGGGCCAAGGCATGCCCACACATGCCCTGGGAGCAGGGCTGGCTGGATCCTGTTGTCCCCTCCCCACCACTAAGGGAAGAGTGAGATCTCCCTGAAGAGGCCTTAGCTTCCAAGCTAGCATCTTTTTTTTTTTTTAATTTTTTTTGTTGTTGTTTTGAGACGGAGTCTCACTCTGTCACCCAGGCTGGAGTGCAGTGCCACAATCTCAGCTCACGGCAACCTCTGCCTCCCGGGTTCAAGAGTTTCTCCTGCCTCAGCCTCCCAAGTAGCTGGGATTATAGATGCCTGTCACCACACCTGGCTAATTTTTGTATTTTTAGTAGAGATGGGGTTTCACCATGTTGGCCAGGCTGGTCTCGAACTCCTGACCTCAAGCAATCCACCCACCTCTGCCTCCCAAAGGGCTTGCATTACAGGTGTGAGCCACCGAGCCTGGCCTCAAAGCCAGTATCTTTAATCTTACAGATCCATGCCCCTGGTTCTCTAAAAAGGCTCAAAAAGTTTAGTCTTCCTGAATTTCCCCTACGTCCCAAATAGGACACGGAGAGAACTGACTCCAGAAATGGACCATTCCAACCACAGTCACTCCCACTTTAATCTGTGGGCAGCCTGGAACAGTCTAAAGGAGAGCTGTATAAAAAGTAGATACCAAGGCTGGTGTGGCAGCTCTGTGACTGAGGCTGGTTTGTGGGCACCATAGTCAGGAGGGCAGCCATGGCCACTGGTGTCAGGGCCCCAGTGAGGGCCCCTGGCTTCGCTCACGGATGTGGTCCAAGATCAGGTCGGCAGCTCGATCCAGCAACAGAGGCAGCAGCTCCTGCTCAGCAGGGGAGAAGGAGCCCAGCACATGGGCCTGTACCGCCTCAGCGTGTGTCGGGCGCCCAATGCCCACCCGCAGCCTTGGCATTGCCTGTGGGAGAGCCAGAGAGGCCCAGGGAGCTTTGGTGAGGTGCTGGGGGACCCCTGGCCCATCCCACCCAGTTGCACGACAGAAGGGTAGACTCACATTGGAGTTGAGACAGCTAATGCAGGACCGCACTCCATTGTGGCCCCTTCAAGGGATATGGGAGGGGCAGTTAGTGCCTCCCTGGGGCAGCATCCTTCTACCCCTCCCTGCCCCGGCTGGGTCAGAGCAGCCCATCTCCTGTGGAAACCGGGTCAGCACCCCTACTCCACCCCAACTGGGAGGCCTGCAGCCCTGTCCCAACCCTGACCATCTCAGGACCTCACCTGGCACTGCCCCCCAGCTTCAGAGCCAGTTTCCCCAGGGGCTTGTCCAGCTCATCATGCACCAGGTAGACTTCCTCGGCAGTCAGCCCAAACAGCTCAGCTTAGCACAGGGAAACGGCATCCCTGGTTACTGCTCATCTGCCCAGAGGAGCACCGTCCCAACTCCCATGAAGAGCGGGCACAACGAATCCCACTTCACATATAAACTAAGGCCTCCACAAGTACCCAAGGCCATGCGCAACTGCAGCTCAACAGGCACTTGGAGGCGAACCCGCGGATCTGTCACAGCCAGGCCCCCTCTGGCCCCTGCGCCCCCACCCCCACCCCCGCGGCCTGCCCACCCACCCCTGGCGTCCTAAACTCACCAGCCCGGGCCACGCTGCGCCCGTTGGCGTTCATAAGCCGCCGTGGCCGGAGCAGGACCAGCTGAGCATCCCCGAGCAGGGCCAGAGCGAGGTCCGCGACACAGTGCCGGTCGCGCGTCCAACTCTCCGCCACACCCAACCGCCGCGCCAGCTGCCCCAGGACCGCCATGCCCACGCTGTGTCGCGTGCCGGGCAATCCGGGATTCCCCAGGCCAGCTACCTGCAGGCAGCACCAGGGAAACTGAGGCCCGACAACTCTAGCCACCCACTATCTCACAGCGTCCCGTGGGCCCCAAAGCAGAGGGGCGGAAACGCAGAGCAGCGCTGCAGTGGGGAAAGGGCGCGGAGAGGGGGCCCAGACGCTCCACTCCCGAGGACTCCAGTAGGCTGGGCAGGCAGGGCGCCCTAGTGCAGGAGCGGAGCTTCTGGAAGTTTGGAGTCCGTCGAGCCCTGGACCCACCAGTTAAGAAAACAGAGCAGCAATTTGGAGGCACTCGGCCCGGGACATAATGGCCGAACTGAAGTTAGGGTCCGGGAGCCCATACGTGGCCGCCCCACGCCACTCACCATCCACCGCTTCCCCGGGGGCCGAGGCTCCAAAACGCACCGGCTCATGGCCCGATTCAGCCGCTGTCCGGAGAGCAAAAGGCCGTGCGGCCTCATGCTGCCCCCATTCACAGCCGGGACACCGGGCCCTGACGTCATAAGTCCGCAGCCAATCGCGTTGCCACCTACCTGGCGTCAACCGCCAGCGTCCAATCCGGGCCGGGCTGCGTGGCCGCCTTGGTCCTGACGGGCGGAAGCGGCGAGGCGGTGTCTGTCTCCCCCAGCCCAGAGGCCTTCCGTGGCGCGGCGTCACAGTGTCCCCACGGGGTTTGTGTGGGACGCTTGGAGCTCTTGCTTGACGTTCGGTTGGGAGGCGGAAGCCTCGTTATGACCCCCGCTATGGCCCTGCCTTGCGGCGAAAATCCGGCAAGTTCTTTCTCCATTGTAGGCCTCAACCTCCCCAGCTAATAAAAGTTTTCTACCCACTTCCGGCTCAAAAGACTTGGTTCCCGGGGGCGTGGCCAGAGGGGCGGGGCCTGTGGGCTTCCTGGTGATGGTGCCTAGCAACGTCGGGGCCCGGGGCCGCGACGAAGTGGGCAGAGGTCTCGGGATCCTCTTGGAAGGGGCCTCATGACAGATTCCGACAAGGTGCGGGCTGGGGAGAAGACTAAAGCAAAGGCAGAGGGCCAGGCAGAGACACCGAGGCCGGATTCGCAGGAAAGGGTGAAGGCCAGAAGGGGCAGGAGCAGCAGTGCGATTCAGGGAAGGCCCTGGCCGCCTTGCCAAAAATCAGGGATGTGAGAGATCGTTGTAAGACTCGGCAGCTGCTGGGAAGGATGTCTCCGGCTTGGGTGGCTGGCGGGGAAGTGACCTCACCAAGGTGGGAGAGCCTGGGGCAGAAGTCAGATGAGGTGCTCGGTGTGGGCTGCTGGAGTGAGGGTAATTAAGGGTATCCAAGGGGCTCTAGGACCTGCAAGGCCTGAGACTTGGGACCGGACCTGAGCTGGAGACCTCAGAGCTTGGGGTGTCAGTAGCCGGAGGTGGGAGCTGGGAAGGCCCAGGAGGAGAGCAGATGGTGTTGTACGCGTGAGGACCCTGATCCCTGACCTTGACCACAGGAGAGGGAGAAAGGCAGGGCTGGAGAGGACCCCTTAGCATCTTCTAAGGGGAATGGGGTTAGAAGCACCACCCGACACCCCCCCCCACCCCCACCCCACCCCCCCGCAATGAGAGTGCCTCCTTCCAGGCCTCACTTCCGCCCCTCCTCCCTCCCTGGAGAATGCTGGGGAGTGTCAGTGGGTGGGGGTCGTCTCTGGGGCCTGCTCCAGCTTGCCATCCTTCCGTTCTAGGATGCCCTGAAGGTTGATCAGGCCCCGTCACAGGACATCCCAAAACCATGGGTGATTCCAGCCCCCAAAGGGGTCCTGCGGCGCATCTTTGGGACCAGCCAGGTGTTCCAAAGCATCTGTGAAGTAAAACCACAGGTTACGAGGTCAACAGTGCCCCTCAAAGTCAGGGAATAGTGAGTGACTACCTTGCTTTGGGATCCCAGGTTCCTGCCCGGCACAGCCATTCACATACCATGCAGCCTTGAGCCACTGACTCTCTTTGGGCCTCAGTGAACTCAACTGTCTAACGGGTCTCTTCTGCCTCAGTGGATAAGAGACTGGTGGCCTGGCTGGACTCCAGGAACATCAGCCTGCCCTCCCTGGGCTTCTGTGTACTCCTTCTGCCTCTCCACCCTTCTGCTCCCCTGCCTCCCCCAACTCCCACCCCAGCCCTATGCCCTGGGCTAGTCCACAGTCAAGGCCAACCCTCTGCCTGTCCCCGCTTCCCCCACAGCTACTCCAGAGGCCAGCAGTGCTTGGAGCAGGCAGACTGGGAGACAGCCGTGCTGTTCTTCTCCCGCGCGCTCCACCTGGAACCGCAGCTGGTGAGAGGCAGACCTGGGTGGGCACAGGCAGTTATGAAACATGCCTCGAAACCCTGTTGCACCTGCCAGATCCCTCCTCTCAGGACCACCAAGTCCCTGATGGAAATTGGGTGTCTAGCCTCAGGGGGACAGAGACTTTCCCCTACCACCCAGGGGCAGATGGTGGGGAAGATCCAGAGGCCTGGGTCCTCTCACCCTCAGGTGGACTTCTACGCCTTGCGGGCTGAAGCCTACCTCCAGCTCTGTGACTTCTCCTCGGCCGCCCAGAACTTGCGAAGGGCCTACTCCTTACAGCAGGACAACAGCAAGCACCTGGAACGCCTCACCTTTGTGCTCTACCTGCAGGTGCCTGGGGCCACCCAGGCCCATGCGGGGCACCCGCCTCACACCACTGGCTCTCCCTCCCGCTGTGGGGGGCTCTCCTGGCTCCTGGGCCCAGCTCTGTCTCCTTGGGTTCATCCTTGTCCCTGGGTCTGGGTCCCCACCTGCTGCCCCTCTGACCTCCCAGGCTGGTTTACTGCCAGGCTTGGCTCAAGTTTGGCAGCACTGCCCAATCGGGCTTTCTGCAATAACAACAGTGATCTACATGGCACTGTCCAATATGCTAGCCACCTGCCACGTGGAACGGTTGAGCCCTTGAAACGTGGCAAGGGTGACTAAAGAACTGAATTTTATATCTATTTTTATTTTATTTTATTTATTTATTTTTTTTTTGAAACGGAGTTTCGCTCTTGTTACCCAGGCTGGAGTGCAATGGCGCGATCTCGGCTCACCGCAACCTCCGCCTCCTGGGTTCAGGCAATTCTCCTGCCTCAGCCTCCTGAGTAGCTGGGATTACAGGCACGTGCCACCATGCCCAGCTAATTTTTTGTATTTTTAGTAGAGACGGGGTTTCACCATGTTGACCAGGATGGTCTCGATCTCTTGACCTCGTGATCCACCCGCCTCGGCCTCCCAAAGTGCTGGGATTACAGGCTTGAGCCACCGCGCCCGGCATCTATTTTTATTTTAATTAATGTAAATGCGTATAGCTACACAATGCTATAGACAGCACAGATCTAGAGTCCCCAGGCTCCAAGCACTAAAAAGGTCACAGTGACCCCCAAGTGTATTTCAAAGTAAAAACAATATTAAACTATAAAACACCAACAAAGTCTTGTTTTCTTCCATTTTGACAACCTTGATGTCTTTTTTTTTTTTTTTTTTTTTTTTTTTGACACAGAGTCTTGCTCTGTTGCCGAGGCTGGAGGGCAGTGGCACCATCTCAGCTCACTGCAACCTCCACCTCCCGGGTTCAAATGATTGTCGTGCCTCAGCCTCCCAAGTAGCTGGGATTACAGAAGTGCACCACCATGCCCAGCTAATTTTTGTATTTTTAGTAGAGTTGGGTTTTCACCATGTTGGCCAGGCTGGTCTCCAACTTCTGACCTTAAGTGCTCCGCCCACTTCCGCCTCTTGAAGTGCTGGGATTATAGGTTTGAGCCACCGCACCGAGTTGATGTCTTTTGTTTATGTAAAAAAATATTCAGTTCTTAAAAAGAAACATTTGGGGCCCTCAGACCGTGTGCTGAATCTGTCTGTTGGGGGCCTGTGTCCTACACTGCCACTTACTGTGTGCTCTTGTACAAGTCACTTCACCTCTCTCAGCCTCAGTTACTTTATCCATAAGAGAAGCATGCCGGCCGGTCGCGGTGGCTCACGCCTGTAATCCCAGCACTTTGGGGGGCCAAGGCAGGTGAATCACAAGGTCAGGAGTTCAAGACCAGCCTGACCAACGTGGTGAAACTCCGTCTCTACTAAAAATACCAAATATTTAGCCAGGAGTGGTGGCGTGCGCCTGTAATCCCAGCTACTCTAGAGGCTGAGGCAGAGAATTGCTTGAACCCGGGAGACGGAGATTGCCGTGAGCTGAGATCACACCACTGCACTCCAGCCTGGGGGACAGAGCAAAACTCCGACTTAAAAAAGCATGCTACTGCAAGTGAGAAAACAAGTTCAAGTTCTTAGCACAAAGCTCAGCAACCAGGGCCCAGGTCCAGGGAGCCTGTTCCTGTTAGTTCTGCTGGTCTTTCTGCCATTTGAGTTTTCTTTCTTTTTTTTTTTTTTTTTGAGATGGAGTCTCACTCTGCTGCCCAGGCTGGAGGGCAGTGGCATGATCTCGGCTCACTGCAACCTCAGCCTCCCAGGTTCAAGAGATTCTCGTGCCTCAGCCTCCAAAGCAGCTGGGATTACAGGCATGCACTAACACGCCTGTCTAATTTTTGTATTTTTAGTAGAGATGAGGTTTCACCATGTTGGCCAGACTGGTCTCAAACTCCTGGCCTCAAGTGATCCACCTGCCTCCGTCTCCCAAAGTGCTGGGATGGGATTACAGGTGTGAGCCACCATGCCTGGCCCAGCCATCTGAGTTTTCTCGATTTCTCTTTGTTCCTGAATCTCTGTATTCCTGTATCTTGCCCCCTGTCTCTTGCTGTCTTTCCCCAGGTCTGTATCTCTCTCCCTCTCTGTCTCTGTGTCTCTCTCCCTCTCTGTCTCTGTGTCTCTCTCCCTCTCTGTCTCTGTATCTCTGCCTCTTCAAGTCTCTCCCAGATCTACAAGGCTCTGTCCTTGCCTCTCTCCCTCCCACCTCAGTGCTTTCTGCTGTCAATGGGGGGTACAGCTGGGCTGGGCTGACAAGCAGAATTGACTGTCCCCTGTGTCCCTAGGGGCAATGCCTTTTTGAGCAGTGTGCCTTCCTGGGTGCCCTGGGTGTCTTCTCACATGCTGCTGAGCTCCAGCCCGAGAAACCACACTTCCGTTACCGATGGTGAGTGCCCTTGCCAGCCCCTTCTCCCAGCAGACGCTTCCTGCTGCCCCACCAAGGAAACAGAGCACCCTGTGCCTCTGCCCTCAGCATGGCCTGCCTCCTGGCCCTCCAGCGGCATCAGGACTGCCTCTCACTTGTCACCGAGGAGCTGAAGCAGGACACCACCAACGCTGACATCTACATCCTCCGGGCCAGACTCTACAACTTACTCCAGAAGGTACAGCAGGAAGGGTGGGCAGGAGCGTGCACCCCAACCTGGGAGTCCTCAGTGTGCCCCAAGATTACAGGAGGAGGCAAGACTGTCAGCCAGCCCAGAAGCCCTATCCCACAGTGCAGTGGACGCTGTCCTTCCTGGGAAGAGGACCACGCTGGCCTGGACAACTCGGCTGCCAGGCCAGGTCCTTGTTCTACAGTTGTTCTGCCCTGACTCTGTGCCAAGCCTGTACTGCACCCCATGGGAAGCAAAGGATGAGAGACTCATGCCATCCATGTCGGAATGGAGCTCACAGCCTGGGGGAGATGTCCCTGGGCAGATGAGTATACTATGAAGAATTTAGCCACGATGCTGTGAAGCCACACACGGGGACACTCAGGGCACCTAACATGAAGTAGCCCTTTCTCCCCGCCCCGCTTGCCCCTTCCTCCTCCTTTCCTCCCTCCTCTCTTCCCCCTTCCTCCCTTCTCCATTCCTCTCTTCCTCCCTCTCCCCTTCCTCCCTCCTCTGTTCTCCCTCTTCCATTCCTCCCCATTCCTCCCTTCCCCCTTTCTCCCTTCCTCCCTCCCTTCCCCCATCTCCCTTCCCCCCTTTTCTCCCTTCCTTTCCCCTTTTCTCCCTTCCTCCCTCCTCCTTTCCTCCCTCCTCCCTTCCCCCTTTCTCCCTCCTTCTCCCTTCCTCCCCCTTCCTCTCTTCCTCCCTTTCTTCCTCCCTCCCTGCTTCTTCCCTTCTTCCTTCTTCCTCCCTTCCTCCTCTCCTTCCTTCTCCTCTTCCTCCCCCCTTTCTTTTCTCCTGTTTGCCTGAATGAACCATCCCTACCCCTGACCACCCGCACAGCCTGGGCTAGGCACAGAGACAGACAGTCCAGGGAACAGCTTGGAAGCAAGAGAAACTTGGGGTCATGAGGGAGGAGGCAGAGGGGGTGCTGGGCAGCACGGAGAGGAGGGCAGGGATGAGAGGTCTCCCTGGAGGCAGTGGGAGCCTCCCCCAGGTGTCCCCAGGGCAGGGAGCTTTAGGAAGATCATTCTGGTGTTTGCAGCGAGTGTGGGTCAGGGGGAGGCCTGGAGCCCAGAGCCTGAGGAGGAGGCTGGGCACCATTGCAGGGTGGGGTGAGGTTGAGGGAAAGGTGGTCCTGAGGGGGGCGAGGAGGGGCAAGTCCCACTGCCCTTCAGAAGGCAGGGCCAGAGTCTGGCTTGGCAGAGGGCTTGAAGGAAAAGAAAGGATCCAGAAGAGTGCCCAGTGTTCTGGCTTGGCCTGGGTGGATGGGGAGCTGGGAAACTAGGATGGGAGGAGCAGGTAGGTGGGTGGGCTGGGCTGGGCTGACCTCATTCTCCAGGCAGGACATCCTGGGTGCAGCTGAAATGCCAGCCTGCCTTACAGTAGGGAGTGCCGCCACCCTGGCAGGAGTGACTCCAGGGAGCGAGGTCCACCCTGGCAACTTCTCCCTGTGCCGCAGGTTGAACTGCAGTGTTCCACAAGTGATTCAGTGGCTTGAGACTCGTAATTTTTTTTCTGATACGTAGTCTCACTCTGTCGTCTAGGCTGGAGTGCGGTGGTGTGATCTCAGCTAACTGCAACCTCTGCCTCCTGGGTTCAAGTATTCTCCTGCCTCAGCCTCCTGAGTACTGGGAATACAAGTGCCCACCACCACGCCCAACTAATTTTTGTGTATATATATATTTTAAGACAGAGTCTCGCCCTGTCGCCAGGAGCCAGGCTGGAGTGCAGTGGCGCAATTTCAGCTCACTGCAACCTCTACCTCCTGGGTTCAAGCAGTTCTCCTCCTCAGCCTCCCAAGTAGCTAGGACTAAAGGCGCTCGCCACCACAACCTGCTAATTTTTGTATTTTTTAGTAGAGATGGGGTTTCACCATGTTGGCCAGGCTGGTCTCAATCTCCTGACCTCAAGTGATATCCGCCCCCCCCCTTGGTCTTCCCACATGCTGGGATTATAGGCATGAGCCACCACGCCCTGCTGAGACTAGTAATTACTGATAATTATTGGTGACTGTTGTGATTTGAGCCCCTGCTGTGCGTAGGCGCATTCTCAGCACTTTGCGCTTCAACCCTTCAGGAGAGACATACTGTCCTCTTCACAGAGGAAGAACCAGCCCGGGGTGACTTGTCCAAGGTCACACAGCCTGTTCCTAGGGGCACTGCCTGGAGCCCAAGGCTGCCTGTACCAAAGTCCTGCCCCTAGCTCCTGCCATTTCCCTCCCGACATCCACCCGTACCTGCTGTCCACACCTGTTCACCTTCCAGCCAGTCACCCTGTAGGGGACAGAGCATTGCCTGTTGCCTGGCTGAGCTTCGCCAGAGACTTGCTGGGGGAGTTTCTGCTGTACCCAGGCCTGAATCTGGGCTTGGGCAGAGTGGTCTTGGGCTCAAAGGTCAGGGAGGGGAAGAGGAAGTGCAGGGGAGCAGATGGGGACACAACCCCCCACCTTGAGTGGGCTTTACAGAGGCCTGACAAGGAGTCAGCATCTGCAGAAACCACTGGGGCTAAGCTGGCTCACCCGAAGTCACATCTGGAAAGGACCAGCTGGCATGGGGCCTGCGATGGAATTTCCCTACCATGCTCCGTGTCCTTCAAGAGGCAGAAAGGGTGGAACGTGGAGCGATGTGGGGGGCATGGAGGAGGCATGGTGTGATAGCACCCTGCCAGAGAAACGCCTCTAGGTCCCGTACAGCAGGACAGGCGTCGGCTCAGCCCCCCGCTGTGCCCCTGATGCCAACCCCTGGCCTCCTGCAGCCCCACCTCTGCTACCGGGATTTGCACCACGCCTTGCTGTTGACTCCCAGGCACTCGCAGGCCAGAATGCTGCTCCAGAAGATGGTGGCCCAGGCACAGCAGGAGCGCCAAGACGCAGGGATCCTGGCCGTGCAGGGCAGGCTGCAGCACGCGCTGCAGCGCATCAATTCTGCCATCGACAACAGCCCTCTGGACCCCAGTCTCTTCCTCTTCCGGTACTGCATGGGGAGGCGCGGGCCTTGGCTCCCAGGCCCTGCCAGGCCACAGACTTGCTATGTGGTTTAAGGAGAGTCCCTGACCCTTTCTAGGCCTCAGTTTCCCCAGTTAGCCCCTAACAATCTTTCCCTACTTCCTACTGGGTTAAGGCATCACAGAGGTGGTCTCTGTTACTGCTGGAAGAGGGATGGCAACAACGTCCCAGTAACCCCAAGAATCCCACAGCCCCAGCCTGCCAAGCAGTTCACGCTGGGACCCGAGCCCCGCTCAGTGGATGAGACTTAGGTTTGAGTTTCTTCCCCGGGAACTTACCGCATCCTGCTGGATTTCAGGAGGGGGCACCGCTGCCCTGGCAGGAGTGACTCCAGGGGCTGGTCCCCCCAGGCAACTTCTCCCTATGCCAAGGGGCTGGGCTTCAGCATCCCGCAAGTGATTCAGTGACATGACAGGCCACTGTGATTTGGGGCCGATTAACCTATCTAAACCGTGGTGGTAAAACACCTGTTTCTTGTACAAGATGCTTTAGTGTAGAGGCTGGCATACACCTGGCTCCCAAAGAGACAAGCTATTTTTGCAAAAAATAAAATGATCAGTGCCTAGTGGGTTATCTGAGTAGCAGTGAAGAGCTGGCCCCACAGGACAAACCAAGCAAATGAGGTGGAGATCCCCATGGCCTCCATGGGTAAGGAGGCCCAGAGCCACAGTGCCTCGTCTGGCCACTTGCCAGGCAGTAGGGGTGCACTGGCCCTCATGTCCCTCTGCCGTCTGCCACGCCCTCCCCCATAGGGGCATCCTGTACCGTCGGCTCCAGGAGTTTGATGGGGCAGTGGAGGACTTCCTGAGGACGCTGGACATGGCGACCGAGGACCAGGAGGACATGGTGCAGCAGGCACAACGCCAGCTGCTGCTGACCTACAATGACTTTGCCGTGCACTGCTACAGACAGGGCGCCTACCAGGAGGGTGTGCTGCTGCTCAACAAGGCCCTCCGGGACGAGCAGCAGGAGAAAGGGCTCTACATCAACCGGGGCGGTGCGCAGCGGCCAGGGCAGGGGGTGGGGACAGGGGAGCCTCAGCAACTCTAAGACCTCACTGGGCACTGGAGACCCCTGGGGGAGGGAGGAAGGGAGAGAGGAGGGAAGGGAGGGAAGAGGAAACGTAATAGTATCTCAGGAACACGCTCTGGGAAATGTTGCCTTAGACAGACTGGCTCTAGACTCCTTAAAATGCTCAAAACAGGCAGCTGGGGAAACAGCGCCCAAACGCCCAGAAAACTAGAGGGGACCGGGACCGGGACCGCGACCGCCCATGGGGGTTATCAGCCACCAGTTTGAGGCCCCGCTCCCCAGGCTGGAGCCGGCTGGGTTGTGGGGCTCCCGGGCACTGGGAGTTGGGGTCCACTCACCCCCGCCCCCGGACCCTAGATTGCTTCTTCCAGCTGGGCAACCTGGCCTTTGCCGAGGCGGACTACCAGCAGGCACTGGCCCTGAGCCCTCAGGACGAGGGCGCCAACACGCGCATGGGCCTGCTGCAGGAGAAGATGGGCTTCTGCGAGCAGAGGCGCAGGTGCGTGGGCTTCGGCCCCCACGGTGGGCGGGGCAGGCCTGGGGGCGGGGCGGGCAGGAGGCCAACTGCTGGGATCCCTGGGTCAATCAAGATGCTTCTCTAGGATGGGAGTGGGGCTCTCGTCTGTAATCTCAGCACTTTGGAAGACAGAGGCGGGCGGATTGCCTGAAGTCAGGGGTTCGAGGCCAGTCCGGCCAACATGGTGAAACCTCGTCTTTACTAAAAATATAAAATACTTAGCCTGGTGTGGTGATGTGCACTTTGTAATCCCAGCTACTCAGGAGGCTGAGGCAGGGGAGTTGATTGAACCTGGGAGGTGGAGGTTGCAGTGAGCTGAGATTGTGCCACTGCACTTTAGCCTGAGTGACAGAGTGAGACCCTATCTCAAAAAAAAAAAGAAAAAAAGAAAAAAGAATGCTTCACTCCTGGTTATTATTCCTTTTTTCTTTTTCTTTTTTTTTTTTTTTTTTTTTTGAGACAGGGTCTTGATCTGTCATCCAGGCTAGTGGTGGGATTTTGGCTAACCTCAACCTCTGTCTCCTGGAATCAAGCAATTATCCTGCCTCAGCCTCCTGAGTAGCTGGGATTACAGGTGCGTACCACCATGCCCGGCTGATTTTTGTATTTTTAGTAGAAACAGGGTTTCACCATGTTGCCCAGGCTGATCTCGAACCCTTGGCCTCAAGCGACCTGCCTATCTTGTCCTCCCAAAGTACTAGGATTACAGGTGTGAGCCACCGTGCCTAGCCCTATGTTTCCTAAATATCCATTTTATTTTCCAAGTCTTCACTAAAGAGCCTTCACTCTCCTGTAGTCCTAGCACTTTGGGAGGCCAAGGTGGGTGGATCACAAGGTCAGACATTCATGACCAGCCTGGCCAACATGGTGAACCCAGTGTCTACTAAAAATACAAAAATTAGTTGGGCATGGTGCCGTGCCCCTGTAACCCCAGCTATGTGGGAGACTGAGGCAGGAGAATCACTTGAACCCAGGAGGCGGAGGTTGCAGTGAGCTGAAATTGTGCCACTGGACTCCAGCCTGGACAACAGAGCCAGAATCCATCTCAAAAAGAGAAAATTGGTCATGAGGGTTCTTTGTAGACTGAGAATATTAGCCTATTGTCTACTATATGTGGCAAAATATATTTTCCCTATATATTGCTTTTCTTTGTGATGTTTTTACTACTCAATAACTTGGAACTTAATCACAGTCAAATTAATATTTTCATTTTAGCTGATGAGTTTATGACATTCTCAGAAAGGCCTTCCTTACCCCAAAATCATAAAAATCTTCATTGATGTTGGAGTTTCACACTGGGATCTAAGTGTTGGTTCCATCAAGGATGTAGTTGGTGGAGAGAGCAGAGAGGGGCATGGGGAGGGGAGCAGACCCAACCTGGTTTCCCCCCAACTCCTTAGTGGAGCCCAGAAGCCACCATTTTCCCCACAGATGGCCCAGCTCATGGCAGCTTGGGACCCACTGTGTCCTGCAGGCAGTTCCAGAAAGCAGAGGAACACTTCTCCACGGCCATCCAGCACAACCCCCAGAAGGCCCAGTACTACCTGTACCGGGCCAAGAGCCGGCAGCTGCTGCAGAACATTTTTGGGGCCCGCCAGGATGTGGCCACTGTCCTGCTCCTCAACCCCAAGCAACCAAAGGTGGGTTCCTGTCGTGTCAGGAGGACAGGCTCCGGAGTCATACCTGATGCATAAAGATACTTCTCGGCCCCCAAAGAAATCTGGTTTGATAACAATCATAAGGCCAGGCGCAGTGGCTCACGCCTGTAATCCGAGCACTTTGGGAGGCCAAGTCAGGTAGATCATGAGGTCAGGAGTTTGAGACCAGTCTGGCCAACATGGTGAAACCCCGTCTCTACTAAAAATACAAAAATTTGGCAGGCATGGTGGTACACACTTGTAATCCCAGCTGCTTAGGAGACTGGGGCATGAGAATCGCTTCAACCCGGGAGGCAGAGGTTGCTGTGAGCCGAGATTGTGCCACTACCCTCCAGCCTGGGCGACAGAGTGAGACTCCGTCTCAAAAAACAAAGACAAAAAACTTTGCAAAACTCTTCTTTCTTCAGCCCTGGGAAGGGCCAAGCTGGGCTGTGCGGGGGGTCAGGGCAGCATCACACTGCTCCTTGCTCTGGCCCTCACCTGACTCTGGTCACCCCCTTTCATGGCAGCTGTCCCTGCTGATGACCAACCTCTTCCCGGGCATGTCAGTGGAGGAGGTACTTAGCACCCAGGTAGCCCACCTGGCCAGGCTGCAGCTGGAGCAGATGGTGGAGGGCAGCCTGCAGGCCGGTGGCCCACAAGGCATTGTGGGGTAAGTGCTGGAGGAGGGGGCACCAGCTAGGGCTGGGGAATGGCTGTAGCGCCAGGCTCCTCTGGCTCCAGCTGCATGCCCGGGTCATTGTCCAGTCTTGGAGTGACCAGCATGGGCCAGGGAGGCTGACTCTGCCTTGGGGGGCGTCACTTGGCAGGATGCTCAGGCAGTGGGAGTTGGAGCGCCAGAAGGCCTGGGCCCTGCGACACTCATGGATGCAGGGGAAGCCTTTGACTGAGACCTCCGAGGAGCTGAAGGCGGCTCCTGAGTTCCTGCAGGCAGAACCAGAAGGCTCAGGGGGAGAGGCTGAGGCCCCCAAGGAGGAGGAAGAGAAGAAGGAGGAGAAAAAAGAGGTAAGTGGAACACATGCCAGGGCCTGGGGCGCTGGGGGTCGGGGCAGAGCATACCCCAGCCCAGGGCTGCAGCATGCAGGCCAGTGGAGTCTGGCTTCCAGGCCTGGCTCTGCAACCCCTCAGCTGTGTGAGGGGCTGGGGACATCTTGCTGTGAGATGGGGATGGCACCAGCAAGGGGTGCTCCTGAGGGAAGGTGTGTGGGGATGTGGGCACAGGTGCACAGACTCACAGAGGGGAGTCACACCCCTGCCCATGGCCACTGTCACGAATTCTACTGTGTGTACTAGCCACTTGCCACTTGTGACAGAATTTTTTTTTTTTTTTTTTTTTTTTTTTTTTTTTTTTTTTAGACAGAGTCTTGCTCTGTCATCTGGGCTGGAGTGCAGTGGCATAATCTCAGTTCACTGCAACCTCCACTCCTGGGTTCATGTAATTCTCATGCCTTAGCCTCCCAGGTAGCTGGGATTACAGGTGCACACCACAACGCCCAGCTAATTTTTTGTATTTTTAGTATTTTTGTTGGGCTTAAGTGATCTGCATTCCTGGGCCTCCCCGTGTTGGTATTACAGGCATGAGCCATTGTAGCCAGCCCCAAGGATTTTCTTAATTCTTAAATTTGTTTCTGAAAACCTCTTATTGAATGTAACATGAACATAGAAAAGTGCACAAATCCTAAGTACCAGTTTGATGAATTTTCACAGATTGCATTACACCCATGATATCATTATCCAGATGGAGAAAGAACACTTTCCCAGCTCCCAGAAGCCCCTTGGGGCCCCCTTTGAGGCCCCTCCCTTAGCCCATCCCACCTACAAGGCTGTCCTGATTCCTAACGCCAAACATGAGTTTTGTCTTTTCTTCACATAAACGGACAGCATGGTGACATCACCCACGCTGCAGCTGGTGGCAGCAGCCTGCTCCCTCTCGCTGGTGCTGTAGAATATTCCGTCCTACCCCACTGTGTGTTTCTCTATTCTACTGCTGGTAAATGTCAAGTACACTTATGTTCAAAGGAAACTTTACGCAATTGAAGTACAGGAATACCAGCATCCTTTGCCATGAGTAGAAAATGTGGGCGGGCGCAGTGGCTCATGCCTGTAATCCCAGCACTTTGGGAGGCCAAGATGGGCAGATCGTTTGAGCCCAGGTGTTCAAGACTAGCCTGGGAAACATGGCCAAAACCCTATCTCTACAAAAAATACAAGAATTAGCCAGGCATGGTGGTGTGTGCCTATAGTCCCAGCTACTTGGGAGGCTGAGGCAAGAGGATCTCTTGAGCTCAAGAGGTTAAGGCTGTGGTGAGCCTTAATCATACCACTGCATGCCAACCTGAGTGAGAGAGCAAGACCCCGTCTAAAGAAGAAGAGATAAAAGAAAATGCTAGCTCTTCCGTCTTCTAGCTCATGTTAGAATGAATATTAAAGTACACACCTTCCCTCTGTGTGTCCCCTGAAGTCAGGGGCTCCCTCCCCCAGGGAGATGCTGGGTGAAGTGGACGGAGCCCAGGGCAGGAACCCAGAGTGCAACCCCCAGCTGGCGGCTGGGGCACTGTGGTGCACCTCGTTGTCTGCAGGTATAAATGTGGGCAGAGACCCGCAGCCTGGAATCAAACTCAGCCTCTCTGCTTCTTAACTGAGTGACCCTGGGTGGGATTTTTAGGGGCTCTGAGCCTTGGTTTCCTGGTCAGTGAGATAGTCATTAGTACCAGTAGTTCTCCCCTTCCCTCCAGCCCTACTTGTGCTCGGAGAATGGAAGAGGGTAAGGCAGAGAGAAGCCCCTCAAATCCTCAGGAAGCATTCCCCAGGGCACAGCCTTTTCCCATTTATAGAAGCCTGTCCCACAGCTGAACTAATTTTCATTTTGCAGCTGAAAAGATTAAGGCGCTAGCATCCCCTTAAACACAGCTGTTCTCATGGCACCACACCTGTCTAGCCTGGCCACTGCCCTTCCTGCCAGGTTTAGTCTCTCCACGTCCCCACCCCACCCTAACCTGGCACCTTCAAGGAACTCTGAGCTCAGGGGAATGACCACTGAAGAGTCCCAGGGCCTTTGGTCTTCCAGAGGCACAGCTGCACGGGCCTTCTACCATCTGAACTACAAAGCCTGTTTCTTGCCACAGGAGAAGAAACCAGAGCTCATCCTTAGAAAGACGGAGTCTCTGTCTGACAGCTACCTTGACCAGACCTCTTCAGCCTCTAGCATTGACTGTAAGTCCCTGGTGCTCCTGCCAGGCCTCAGGAAGCCAAGGGAGCAGGATGGTCAAAGGTCAGGGGTCTAAGACCGCCGGCCTAGATGTGAGTTCGGCCACTGCTGACAGCTGGGTGGCCTGGGGCGAGCGGCTCTAGAGTGTGAGTAATGCTCTTACAGGGGACACAGCGGGCAGTGCCCAGCACGGCAGGGAGCCTGAGGCTTGGTCCAGGCACTTCACGGAAGCTGCTCCTCCACTCTGGTTCCCTCCCAGGCCTGTCCCTGAAATAAGCTCACAAACCCTGTGCACTGACAGGGGCTTCTAGCCCCAGTTCCACAGGGCCCCCACCTGGAGGAGACAGAAGTGAAGAACCGGGTCGCTGCTCCTTAGAGGCCTTAGGACGGGTGTGCATAGCCCTCAGGGGGTGGCAGGGCCCAGCCCCTTCTTCATTTCGTGAATCCAGCAAATCCACCAAGTGCCTAGGCCAGGCCTGTGCTCAACACTGGGCGCAGGGATGACTGGCATAGTCCTTGCCCTGGGACATGAGCTCTAAGCTCCAAAAGGAAGAAGGCTGCCCGGTGACCTGACAGCCAGGAGACACGGCAGACAGTGCGGGGGAAGCCCGGGCTGTGGGCGCATTTAGGGCCTTTTAGTGGGGGTGAGGACGGAAGGGCAGGAGGGTGGGATGCAGGTAGGGGATTCAGGTGCTGTCTGCTGCAGTGGAAACACAGAGGGAAGGGGCAGCCGCAGAACGGAGGCCTGGGACAGGGTGAAGGGGGCTCTCGAGCATCTCCCCCCATCCCACAGCCCCGCCCCTCAAGGTCTGGGTCGCTGCAGGGCTGGGCAGGGTTGATCTGCAGGCTTTTCCCTTTGGCTTTCCTTTTGGGAAGCCCCTTTTCCTGGAGCTGTCCAGGGCAGGTGTGGCAGGCCTGATGGGCTCTTGGCACACCCATCCCAGTCAGGACCACAGGCACCTCAGAGAATGGGACGTCAGCCACCTGCCAGGAATACAAGAGCACCTCAGCCACCGCCGTGACATTCTCTGACTCGTCACAGCTGAAGACGCAATCCTCAGACTCTGGGAACAACCGGGAGGCACTGAGCCATGGTCCCAGAAAAATCAAGTCCAGCCAGGGCCAGAGGCAGAGCTCCAGCAAGATCGAGGCCACCCAGAGCCCAAGGCAGGCACCCAGCAAGACCAAGACCACCCGGGGCCCAAGGCAGAGGCCCAGAAAGGCCAAGGCTGCTTGTGGCCGGAGCTGGAGACCCAGCAAGGTTGATGCCACCCAGGGCAGAAGCAGGGGACTGCTCCGAAGTTCTGCCAAGACTGAGGTTTTCTATGACTCAAACGGGAGTCTCAGCAAGACTAAGGATGTCCAAGGCCAGAGCCAGAGGCCCAGCGAGGCTGAGGCTGCCCAGGGCAAGAGCCAGAGCATGAGCTCAACTTCCAGCAAGGCCGAGTCCATCTGGGGACCCAGCCCCAGTCTCAGCAAAACTGAGGTTGGTCAGGACCTCACCCACTGTGAAGCGCTCTGAAGGGACCACCCAGCCCCTCACTTCTTGCTGGGGAGGGGAGCAGTTCTACCCACCACTTCCCACACTGGCACTCAGCCAGCTGCCTCCTTCCAGAGCAATTAAAAATCTTAGCGGTCAGGCATGGTGGCTAACGCCTATAATCCCAGCACTTTGGGAGGCCAAGGCCAGCAGATCACCTGAGGTCGGGAGTTCAAGACCAGCCTGACCAACATGGAGGAACCCCATCTCTACTAAAAATACAAAATTAGCTGGCACGGTGGCACATGCCTGTAATCCCAGCTACTTGGGAGGTTGAGGCAGGAGAATTGCTTAGAACCCAGGAGGCGGAGGTTGCGGTGAGCCGAGATCATGCCATTGCATCTCAATAAATAAAATAAACAAAAGTCTTAGCAGTCCTCTGGTCCCATAGCTGAGTTTATTATACTTATTCTCTTCTTTTATAAAATTAAAAACTTCTAAAACCAGGCCCAAGTGGTAGCTTGAGTCCCTCCATTTCTGGAAACTGAGAACAGTGTCCACCTGGCTTGATGATACAAACACAGGGTGTGGGGTGGAGGGGAGGGGGCGTGGTGCCCGACCAAGGAGGCAGACTGAGGAGGGAGGGCCGCCACGAGCCACAGTCCCTGAGTTACAATTCACAGTAAGAAGGCTCAGGCTGCAAGGGAGGTCAAGGCTCTGTGAGGTTCTGGGGTGACCAGGGGTTTCCCTGGGGAAGGTGGCAGCAGCCAAGATGCTCTTGAGCCAGTTTAGAGGCCAGGGCCCTTCCTGGCCGTCTGTCCCGTGGCCTAGCCGACACTCTCTTCATCTCACGTGGTGCTCGGGGTCCCTGTAACAGAGACCCCAGGCCTTTCCTGCATGGCCTAGCCATGAGGGGAGGACAAGGACACCACCTGGGGAGTCAGAGGAAGAAGGCGATTCGGGAGGCCACGGTCTTGCAGCCGTTGGAGGAGAAGAGCTGCTCATCCTCAGGGAAGAAGTTGGTGCTGTCCAGCACAGCCTGGACAACCTCATCCCTTGGCTCCAGGCCCAGCTGGGCCAGCTCGTTGAGTACACAGTGCCGGACGTGGTGCCGCTGGAGCGGGAGGAAGGGCACCACTGCGTCTAGGAGGTGCTCTTCCATGATGCCTGAGCGTGAGAAGCCATCTGCAGAAAGGGCGGGTGGGGAGAGGACTTTGTGCTTCACAAGACGGGAGAAGCCGGCCCCACCTACCAGGGGCAGGAGGGAAGATGCTGGCCCCGGTCCCCTCAGTCACCTTCTAGGTGTAGGACTCAGGGGCTGTAAGGCTCACCCAAGGTCACAGAGCTAGGACTGCCAAAGCCTGGGCTCAGACTCCTGGGTCAGCGGGCAAACCATGAGACCCCGAGAGAACCTGGCCCCCTGGGTATGGGTGAAGCCCCCAGGAAGGGGTTACTGAGCCAGACTCACGGAGCGGGTTGTCCAGCACTGCGCGGGTGATGACCGGCTCCAGCTCCTGCAGCAGGATCTCCTCGCGGTCCCGGCGGCTGCGCCATGCCTCTAGTGCCACCTCGTTGATCTGCTCGCCACCTGTGTTGCTAAAACCATGGGAGACCCAGGCTGAGACTCAGACGAGGATTAGCACAGGGCAGGATTTGGCCCTCGCTTCCCCGATGTCACCTGACATGACCTAGGAGCATGGCTCAGTGCCAGGAGGAGCCAACCTCACTGAAAATGCTCCACTTCCCTCATGCCCCTGTAATTCACCTATACATGCCACGTACTTTACAGTTTACAAAACACTTTTGTGTCCCTTAACTGACTTTCCCTCGCTGAACCTCCAGGAGGACATCGGGGTATCACCATTGGCCTCGCTATTCAGAAGCAGAGGCAGCGGCTCAGAGACGGGAGCCATGCTGCCTGAGGAAACACGGCAAGGATTCTGAGAGCTGGGGCTAAAGGACAAGAACTCAGCCCCTGTTTTTCCGAGGCCTGTTTCCTCCTCGCCACAAAAGAAGGAAAACTTCTTGACCTGGCAGGGCTTCCACAAAGAAGTGGCAATCAAAAAGACTGAACCCAGGCCAGGCGCAGTGGCTCATGCCTGTAATCCCAGCACTTTGGGAGGCCGAGGCAGGAGGATCACCTGAGGTCAGGAGTTCGAAATCGGCCCTACCAACATAGAGAAACCCCACCTCCACTAAAAATACAAAATTAGCTGGGCGTGGTGGCGCATGCCTGTAATCCCAGTTACTCGGGAGGCTGAGACAGGAGAATCGCTTGAACCCTGGTGGTGGAGGCTGTGGTGAGCTAAGATCGCATCATTGCACTCTAGCCTGGACAACAAGAGTGAAACTCCATCACCAAAAAAAAAAAAAAAGATTGAGCCCAAGAATGAGCTGAGAGTGTCCAAGGGGAAATCAACCAGGCTGAATGACAGTGTCACCTCTGAGAGTATTGGGGGCACTGGGAAGGCCCAGCTGGGCCCAGGGGGAATTGGATTCTGCTGGAAGCACAGGCGAAGGATATATAGATAGACTAACATCCGAGAAGTGGCCCCCCACCGTGCCCCCTGCAAAGCCAGGCCCCACCTGATGAAGATGAAGATGGCTTTGCGGTAGTTGGTCCCATATACAACCCAGGAGGAGCCCAGAAAAGGCTGCAGGACTTCCATCAGACCTGGGGGCATCTTGTCCATCTCATCAAAGAGGAAGAGGGAGCGGCCACAGGCAGTGAGGTTCCCTTGGACCCAGCTCTTAAGATCCTTCTGCAGGAGAGAGACAGGAGTTTGAGGGAGGCTGGAGAAACTCCCCCAACCCCAGACCTCTTCCCAAACCGAGAACTAATTTCCTTTCTAGGGAGATGTTTCCCAGAGAGCACCAACCCCTTAGTGAGACTGATGGTGAAACTGTATCCCAGAGAGGGGCAGAGACTCACCCAATGTCACACAGCCAGTCAGCAAGAGAACAGGGACTCAAACCCAAGCCTCCCACTTCCCTGTTCGGGGCTCTTTCCATGACACCTGCTGCTTTCTGTAAAAGGGGAAGGCTCCTTCCTGCTCCCTGAACCTACCCAGCAGGATGATCTAAAACAGACCAGCCTGGAAGGTACCTTGCAATCAACAACAGTAGTAGTAAGAGTCAGTATTTCCCCATGCTTATTCTGAGCCACAAATTGGGGCTGATTTCCAGCAGGACAATAGTGCAGATTATCTGACAAACGTAGGTGTTCAATAACTAATATCTGCAGTGATATAATCTCATGTTCCTCACAACAACCCTGGCAGGTAGGTACTGCCAGGGTTCCTTACTGCCCCAAGGAATCAAAGTGCTCCCTGCTAGGTAGAATGGCACCTTCCCAAGGTCCGTGCAGGATGGGTCCTGAGGGCTGGGGCTGCAACTGGCTGTGTGGCCTGGAGCAGGTGACTCCCTTGTCTGGGCTCAGGACTTATTCCCTAGGGTGTCACCGCATGGTGAGGAGAACAGCGGTCAAGGACGCATCCAGCCTACCTTGTAGCGCTTGATGTGGCTGGGCTGGGGAAAGTGGATAACGGGAGAAAAGTGGTGCACGCGGGGGCTGCGGAGGCCGCCCTGGAAGAGGTAGTGCGCCAGCAGGGAGCTGACATAGGACTTCCCGGTGCCGGTCCAGCCGTGCAGGGAGAGGACCAGCGGCTTGGTGGGGGCTGGGTTCCACACAAAGGCCTTCAGCGCCTTCACCACCAGCGCCTTGGCCAGATGCTGGCCGGCTAGGTGCTGAGCCAGGTCACACTCCAGACCTAGGGCCACAGGAGGATGGTGAGGACACAACCCACCAAGGCAGAGGTTCAAGAGGAACGTCATGTCTGGAACCTGGTCTGGGACTCCTGTGTCCTTACGTTTGTCCAAGCTGACTATACACATGGCACGGGGCCCTTGGGGTCTGTGGCGGAAAAGAGCCAACTTCAGGCCTGATTCAGCTCGGCCCCGCCCCCACCAGGCGATCCTCTAGATTGCACTCAGCCATAAAAGCGAGCTGTCAACGGGGTCAGCCCCAGACCCCGGCCATCCCCAAGGCGCGTTTCTCCCTTGACAGCCAGGCCATTCTGGGGAGGCCCAAGACCTCTCTCCAGATTGGCAGGGGCTCCTGGACCCCAACGGGTACCCTCCACCCTCGCAAGTCTGCGGGCCCCGCCCCCCGGTCCCACAGCCCTCTGGGTCCTCAGCTGCTCCGGCCAGGGCCAGCCGGGCTCCCAGCGCTCCCAAGTCCGCCCGCCCCTCGCTCTGGGCTCTCTGGCACCTCACCCTGCAAGTCGGGCCGGAAGTCGCATTCGCAAAAGGCGCCCAAGCTGCAGCGCAGAGAAGCCAGGTCCCAGGCGGCGGCCGCGGCCGAGACCAGCCCGAGCAGCCCGAGGAGCGAGCCCCAGGGCCGGCAGCCGCGCGTCACAGCCGCCATCCCGGTGAGGCCCGAGCTCGGCGTAGGGCAGCCAACCGTCTCGCCCGGGAACTACAACTTCCGGCGTGCACCGCTCCGCAGCAGCCACGCCCATCGCCTACAACTCCCGACACCCCTCTCCCCGCCTCCAAGACCGGCCCAGTCGTTCCGCAGCAGAACCGGAAGGTGGCCTCCAGGGGGAGCCCGCGAACCGCCCAATCTGGGACGGCGGGCCGCGTTTCCATGGCCACGGTAACTAGGGGACCATCGTAGTAGCTCAGAAAGAATAAATAAAGGATTATGACCACAAAGGGCGACGTAACAATTACAGCAAAAACTTGTGCGGAACCTTACGCCTTGCAAAGCGCCTTTTCCATGCTTTATTCTTTTATATGACAAAAGTGCCCTCACTAACAGCTTTTGGTGAGCACTTACTCTGTGCCATTAGTGCTAAGTGCCTATACACCTTATAATGTGACAATAGTACCTGCTATCCAGAGAAATGGTGGTGTTTCAATGACATAAAGGCACACAAATTGTTTGGCTCAGAAAGTAATTAATAAATGATCATCGACAGTTCATTGTGTATGAAACAGGACTCTCCTTCACCTAGCAGCAACTGTCGCCCAATGCTTGGCATCAGTCCTAGGAGACGGCTTCTGTTGTCCCCATCTCAATAAGGACGTATTTGGGACCGAAGAGGTTAAGCCTCTTACCCAATGTCACGCAGCTGTTAAACAATAGAACTA